CTTATTTGCATTATGGTAGCACCTAGGAACCCCCTATAGTACCTAGACCCTATAGTGCAAGATGCAGGTAAAGAATAGAGTCTCTCTTTCAGAGAGTTAATAGTGTGTCAGCATGCAATAGGTGGGCAAAAGACACCCACTATTGGGTGCTGGTGAATGAGGAGGATGAAGTAACAAAACTAACAGTTGAGTAAATAAGCAAAAATCACAGCTTCCCACAATGATCAGTCCTGCTCAGCCAGCCAACCTAATACAGTTCAGCACGTTTTCTGTTTCTGCCTGTTCTTGCACCGGCTGGTCTTCATTTAAAAAAACAAACAAACTTCTAGGCTCTTGTTCAGTTTCTAAGATGAAGAATTGAATTAGACGTGCCCAGGGTATTCAAGAGGTCAGTTCTCTTGGAGATTACAAGTTGGAAATTTGGAAAAAACAGAGGAGAGATGGAACAATTTCAGACTGTGCTGGGACAATCTGCTTCATGTGAGATCTTCAAGGAACAATTACAGGAATAATGTTTGCTGTCAGCTGATGGAGTCAGAGCAGCAAGTGCATCATAAATCCACTTTTTTTTGTTTCAGGACCTCATGACATAATTTTTCTATTCAAACTAAGCCTGGAGAACAGTTATTCAAACTGGCTTTTCTTTCAAGCAGTGTTAAAGCCTTCATGCAACCCATAGCTAAAATACCAATTTTATTGTTGCTATTAAGAAAATATGCAGATTCCAAAACTTACTGATTTTTTTTTTTACAACTTTAGAAATCTCTTGGCGCATGGGAACAGACTTTACATATGTTCATTTTTTTTCGTAGCTGCATGACAGAAATGTGATTCATGTACATTGTATATGTTATAAAGCCAAAGTCATCTGGCATAACTCCATTGAAATTACTGATGTTACCATAGGGTTGAATTTGGACTGACACTGTGGAATTCAACCATTCTATGAAAAAAATATTGTGTCCACATGTTGCTTGAGATAAATTTTACTTGAATAACCTAATGATTTATAGATGTTTTTGATTTCTACCAAACTACAGAGCAGTTTTAGCTTATGACTAGGGATCTACCAAATTCACGGCAGAAGTGGGCTGTGTAGCATCTCATTTCATCTTGCAGGTTCCCCTATTCCCCTGCCCCCACTGCTGATTGGCTGAGGGGCGTGGGTGGTGGCCCTGTTGCTTGATGGTGACTGGCCAGGAGGCAAAAATGGCGGCATATTTAAAACTGTGGTTTTTAGCTCCCTGTTGATCAAGAGTGATTGTTGGGGCTTCTTTGCCAATTGATGTGGGGGGTGAGGAGGGGAGGAGGATGCATGGGGGAAAGTGCAAGCTTAAAGGAGCTGTTGCGTAGCCCGCTTCAGCCATGAATTAGGTAGGTCTCTATCTATGAAGCATAATTGACTTCGGTTTGTGCATTTATTTCACTGAGGACCTATGATACCAATTAATAGATCCCCTTTTCACAAATTTTGCTTATTATTTAAGGCCAGGGTTGGTAAACTACAGAAATAACTGGCCATTATGAAACATTACCTGTACCATGCCTCTGCTTAAACATTCTTTCCTCATTCAGTTCTCTCCAGAGGAGTAATATTTTTTGCATAAGAGCTTCTAAAAATTATTTTTCAGGGGAAAATGATTGCCATTATATCTGGATTAAGAACTCATACTGAGAGATGATGCATCTTGCATTTTCATCTGTTTAGCAACAGGTGGTAAAAACATCAACCTCTTCACTGGTTTGTTGAAAAATCACCCAAACTTTTATTCTGCTGCTATGATAATAGGAAAAGGATAGAATTATTTCTTTTTAAACCTCACTTCAATGAAATAAAAAATGGGAAGGATTTTTCAAACCTTTCATGAGGTATTTAACTATATCCTAGTTCTAAAGTGCTCTTCATCTTATCTGCTGAGGAGTCTATTTTGTAGCTTATTTGAGACTGAGAAATAAGCTAAGGATGCCTTTGATTCAAAAAAGTAGCAAAGACATTTTAATGTTAAGTTGTACAAGTTACAGTAAATTTGATGATGCCCAGTCTGCCCACAGGTTGGATCTGGCCAGAGATCCTGATCCTGCACTCGGAGTGGGGGCACAATAGGGCACCATTGGGCTGTGTAAAGAAGGGGGAGGAGGGTAGCCTGACCTCAGTCCAGTGGCATGGGGGAAGGGGACTTGGCCTGGCTGCAACTTGGCCCTGCAGTGGGGGAGGGAAGGGGTATGACCTGGCCACAATTCAGCTGGAACCAGGTCGTATCCGCTTTGGCATGGGGAAGGAGACTTGGCCTAGTTTGACCATGTGGGGAGAGGGAGTGTGGCCTGGTCCCAGCCCAGCTGTGCAGAGGGAATGGGGTGTGGTCCAGGTCCAATCTGTTCACAGAGCTTGGGAATTTGGCATGTGGGAGGGTAGAGGTATTAATTGCCACATTCCTCTGTCCCCACACTTCCTGGCCTGTGGGGACCCCCTTGGACTGCATGTCATGGCTCCATGAGCTAGATTTGACTTGTGGGCTGCAGGTTAAATACCCTTATATATATGATCAAAATGAATCTGCCCACCAAGAAACCAGGAAATGAGGAATATAGTGCCCAAATTTAAACTAGTCTAGGAATTTAGGGAGGCAACCCATGGGTATTAGTTTAATCATTTTGATAGGCTATAGAGCAGGAGAACCATGCAAAGGAGGGTTGTAATGAGGTGTGAGAAGAGAGTGCTCATCCACAAGAACAGTTGTCGAAAGCCCTTCTCTGATACTAAAGTTCTGCTGACCATGCCTGTGGCAGTATAGCGGTCTCTCTCACGTGTAGGTAGTTTCTAGGTCATGTAGGGATTCAGAGGTTAATGCCTCCACCTGAGTCATGGTAGGAACTGGCCTCCAATTAGAGTAGGTTATGGACCACAGATGTTATGCTCTTAGAAAAAAGTGCTTAACAAGTGGAGTATAGATTTCTGTATTAGCTTCAGTTTCCAAAGTAGGTTTAACATGTAGCCCATGGCTAAGTACAGACAGTCAAAAATCCTGAAGCTGAATCGATTCAGTCTTTGCAGATTAGTCTAAGCTGCACAGGTTAAATTGAAACAAGTGAACAGACCTTTGATTCAGGAAATGCAGCGACATGCCTGCACCGGCTCAGGCCAGAAGCCAGGGGGGGCACTAGAGCACTGCTGTGTGGCATGACCCAGTAGGGGCTGTGTGTTCACTTCTTCCTGCTACCGCAAGGTCTCTGGGATCTGCAGTCCTGACCCACAGCACCAGGACTCTGCAGGGTTGCTCGTCACTTCCTCTTCCTGCTTCCCAGGTGCCTCTGAGATTTGTAGTCCACATTTGCATCCAGCAGTAAGTTTGAGTGGGGGAAGGGATGTTTAACACCTCCTCCCAGGCCCCAGCTAGGGTTTGCTTGGGTGGGGGGCAGCCCTTCCTCCCCCTTGGAGACTGGGCTGCATCCCCAGCTGGGCTTGCTCCCACCTCCCCCACCTCCTGTGTGGGGACTATGATTTAACTTGAAACAGGAAGGGGTCTTGGGCAGAAATTTCATAAACTAGTTTGACCCAAATCAGTTAAGTTTGATACTATTCAACCAAGTTTGTCGTAAACTGGTTTCCGCCATTTTGGAGAACTGGCTTATATGCTCTGAGCTTCTGTTCTGTTATAGGTTCAAACCAGTTTCTGAACACTTAAACTGGTTTATGTGTAACTTCTTTTCTACCTTCAGTAGTTTCTCAGAAGAGTACATTGCTTAAATAGTGTTAGGGTATTGTTATTATTGTTCCATTATTTTGCAGTCACAATAATTATTTGAACTGTTACAGCATCAGCGTAGCAATTAATGCCTTATGTATATGCGGCAACTTACAGAATGCAAGTGTTTTAATAGACTCTGTGTTTGCAGAGATCATTTCCCTTACCACAGAAATGCAGCCACAGTGTTGAAAACATGTTAACTAAATATACTCAGTGGCAGATCCAGAGTGTGGTGTCATGGTTCAGTTGCACTCCAGCCAGTATGGGACCTTTGGGGTAGGCAGAAAGCCAGCAGAGAAGCAGGCGCAGGAAAGAGGAACCCATTTTCTGCCACTCTTCTTTGGCTGCTTACAGACATGTAAAAAAACATAACAAAAAAGAACAGCACTTTACTATAAACTTGATGTGCCCCCATGCTGAGCCCAGTGCATGCCCAGAAAAGGCATCATGTTAGCTGGACCCAGCTCGCCGAGATTGGGCACTTTAGTGGCGCTTTTTTGGAGCTTTTATCTAATAGCTAAAAGATAAAAAAAAGCACCAAGAAGCCCTGCTGAAGTGCCCAATCTGCTGCAGAGCCAGATCAGACTAATGTGATGTCTCTTCTGGGCATGTTCTGGGCTTGGTGCAGGGACTGCTTCTTCTAATAAAGCACTTACTGGAAGCTGCTTCTTCCAGTTAAGCCCCCTCACCCTTTTTTTTTAACGTTGGTCTGCAGCCTTTGTGGCTAAGCCTGACACCCTGTGCAGCTGCTCCCTGCAGCCACACCCCCTGCCCAGCAGGTGATATGAGCAGCTATATAGGGTTCCCCATGTGTGTGGGTCAGCTGGGAACAGTGGCAGCAAGGGCCAGGTCCTCCTTCCTGTGACTGCTTCCTACCTCTGCTCCCCTGCACCCCCCAAGCCCAAAGGCTCCAACTGTGCCCTGCCTTCACCCCTACCATGGTGAGGGTGGTATTGCACACCCCACTTTATAAATCTTCTACCTGCCCATGTTTATGCTAACACTGTGCAGCAGTGGAAGGAGTAATAAGTGTGCAGCAGTGGAAGGAGTAATAAGTAATCAGATATCTATTTTACATTAATGGGCATGTAAGTAAACAGAATATACCTGATCAGTTTTAACAGAGAGTTGTAAACGTACCTGAGAGTTTTCAGTTCCGTAAAACTTCTTCACTTCATTACTCAATGCTAATTAAGTTGTCTATAATGAACCAGTGAGACGTTTTATGCAAAGGTTGTGCTTCTTCTCTCCTAGATTACGGAACTGTGTGGTGCAAAACGTGTGGGTTACTTTGGTCCTGCTCAGTTTTATGTTGCTCTGAAATTAATCGCTGCAGCACAGTCTGGCCTCCCAGTACGGCTAGAGAGCATTAAGAGTGGTAAGCAGCTCATTTTGCTTAGTTTACTTACAAGGTTGTTCTTTAATTGTTTGCATGTGTACTGTACGTTGTTTGCTTTGTTTAGTTTTATCTGAACCTGAGAGTAAATCAAAATCCTATCAGAGGCAGGGAGAGACAGGTGAAGAAGATAATTCTATTATCCATAAATTATGTATAGAGAATTATAGTGAACTCATGGAGAATAAATTGTTTCTTCCTGTAGAAAAGCAACAAGCCAACAGAGCTGTCATGATTATGGGCTCATTTCTGCCAACCGTTACTCATCTTCATTTCCAAACTCTAAAGTTGTTCTGCTCAGGCTGACTGATATATTTGCATGGAGTAAATATTACTAGGATTCTTAAGGAATATGGGAATTTGGCTCAACTGGCAGGACTTAAGCGTTCCTTTTCAAATGGAAATAAATGGGCATTAAGCACAGTGGCAAAACCTCACCTTATTATCAAGTAATGTTAGTGTTTATGTTGAGGATAGTTGAAAATGCATTTGTTTTTCATTGTCCATTGAAATAAATGTTCAGTGCACCTCTGTGTGGAAAAATGCTTGCTACAAGAAACTTAAAAAAAAATTCTAAGTGGTCAATTTGAAACAGTGCTTTTACCTGTAAAACTTTTAATAGCTAATATGGGACTATAACTATATACTGCCACATGCCAGATCAGAGGTAAAAGACTCAAACTTCAGATTGTTCTGCTGGGCTGATAATGTCAGTCTGATATAGGAAAGAGAGTGACAGTCTAGATAGCATAACTTCTACAGCACTCCCACTAACTAGATGGCCAACCAAAGACAACTGTAGTCAGAAGCTGATTTTAATACTTAAATATAGACTGCTTTAGATAGACGATGAAATTTTAACTTCTGGAGCCATCTTGTGCCAGTTTGTCATTCTTTAGTCATTCTTTGTATGACTGAAATCCAGCAAAGGATTCATCTATAAATCAGAATATAAAAATATTAGTGAGCATAGGTTTTCAGTTGCACTGGACATATCAGGGTATTAATACTATCCTTTGACAAAATCAGCCCAAGACAGGGAAGTCTACAGTATGCCAGTACTATATTTTGAAACCTTGCTGTACATTTTCTAACAGAATAATAGATGGGATCCAAGAGTGTGACATGTTCTAACTCCAAACTAAAGTTTCCTATTTTTTAAATAGTTTCTAATAATTTCTTTTTTTATATATATTTTCTAAACTGCACTGGATAAGGTCCCGGACTCTAACCTTTATGGCCATGACCAGACAAGTCCGGTATGTAGCGCTGCAGACATGTCTGTGGTGCCACATACCGCACATTCAGTTGTTCTTTGCACTGCAAGAGAGCAGCATAGAAAAGTTATTTGACCCTTGGATATCCAGGGGTCAAAAAAACCCATAGGAAAAAAAAAGCAGAGCACCGCATGTGGGGGCAGCATGCACTGCTCAGAAGCAGAGCTGGGCTGCCTGGAGCTGCACTGCGGCTACTGGCCAGGCTCCGCACAGCAGAATCGCCACTGGTGCAGTCCAGGAGGCCCCCAGAACCCCAGGTAAGGCTGCTGGATAACTTGGCATGTGCCAGAGCACATGTGGCACAGGCATTCCCCGGGGAATAGTTGTCCCCGGCGAACCGAATGTCCACACAACTTTTCTGAAAGCATCTAAGAACAGGATCATAGATAGATTTGATCATCAAACTCAAGTGCAGAGGCAGAGCTCCTTTACACATGCAGGCAAAGGCGCAATGGGATCTAATGCATGGTCCCACAATTGTGCCTCCTGCCATGCACGTGTGGCATAACAGGAGGTACAATTGTGTGGATCAAGCATTAGGTCCCATTGGGTATTATTGCTGGTGCAGGGGAAGCTTGGGAACACCATCCTGGGCTCCCCCTGCTGTGAGTCCCACAGCTGACGGGACTTGGTGGGGCTCACAGTGGGGGCAGCATTCCCTGCACTGCAAGCCCTGCTGCCAGTGTGGGCTGCGGGGCTTGCAGTGGGAACAGCACTGGGAATGCTGCCCACACTGCGAACCCCTAACCTCACAAGGTTTGCAGCATTCTCCCCACTGAGAGCCCTGCAGCTGAAGACACTGCCCCTGCTACAAGCCCCTCAGCTGATGGGGAGACATAGGGGAGCACTTGGCCCCATGTTCAATTAATAGTGTGATTAGAATAAGTTACAAAGTTATTACACACTTTTGTGGAATAATTTTATAGCTATTGCTTGCTTTTTCACACCATGAATTGGTTGAACATGTAGCTGGGTCACAACTTAAGGCATGATTACCTGGTTAATTGCTTCTTAAAAGTAACATGTAGAAGGGGCCATATAAACCTTGTATTTCAAAGGGTTGTATTTAAACAAAGAGCAGCAGCAAGGTGCAAAAACTAAACTGTAGCAGTTATCTAGGAGATGTTCAAAACCAGAACATTTTTTTTGGACTTTGGGTTAGTGTGACTATTTGGTATATCTGTCCATCTACAATGTACACATTCTGGTAGATAGTTTGAAATCACTATATCTCTGAAGGGGTCAGCAGATGGCTGACTCATCTGCTCTCAGGGCTAGTGCAACATCCTTTCCGTACTGGGGACACCATGATTAGCTTCTATTCAAATTGGAGTACTTACGGCCAGTAGAGTAGCTGAAGCTAAAGGGAACCTGTTCAGACAAATTTATCTATATGAAGGGGAGTTAGATCAGTGGAGTTTGCCCAGGAGGGGAGCAAAAGGAAAAACAGTCAAAACAAAACAATGTTTTTTAGCATTAGCATTCAGAGCCCAGAGGGGCTCTGTGGTGCTTACCTTTTTCCTCACTCTCACACCAGAAAACCTGTGTTATTCATGTTCACCTTCCAAGAACCCTCCATGCTGTGGAGCTGTACACAGCTGCATTTCTTTACCCATAACCATACTAGTGCTTTGGTTACGTGTCACTAGGGTTGCTGGGAGGATTGTATATTATTTTAGGTGACCCAGATTACCCCCTACTGTTGTGGCTCTGGAAATTGTACCCTGATTGATACAGGCTTATTTATGTGTTTAGCAGTTGGAGGATGGTGATGGAATCCATATTTGAGAGCAAGATAGTTTTCCCAGCAAAAACCATTTGGATGCCTCTGAACAACATATGAAAGGAGATGGATGAAAATTTTCACTAATAATTATGGGATGGCATTGAGGACTAGCTGAACTTGAGTTTAGTTGCATGAGTTTTAATTATACCCTCATTGCTATATCCTCATTGCAGAGTTCTTGAGTCTGAGTCTGCCTTAATGAGAAACATGGACTGTAATCCATAGCCTCAGCTGTGCAAGTGAGCGTGGGTTCACAGTGAAAACAAGCATAGGCCTAAGGGTTTGCTCTGTGAATGGTAAGAGGTATGGGATTAAAACACACACAAGCACTTGGGGTAAACCTGTTGTGTAAATAGAGAGAAAAAAGGGGTGTGCTTTTCATAGATTTCATAGATGTTAGGGCTGGAAGGGACCTTGAAGATTATCAGGTCCAGCCCCCTGCCCTAGAGGCAGGAAGTCAGCTAGGGTCAAAGGATCCCAGCAAGATAAGCATCCAAACATTTCTTGAAAGAGTCCAAAGCAGGTGCCTGCACCACTTCTGAAGGGAGTCTTGGGGGCTCAGACAGTAAAGACATTTTTCTTATGTCCAGCCTGAAATGGTCTTGGAGGAGTTTATGACCATTGGTCCTTGTTTTACCTTGGGGCGCTCTGGTGAACAGATGTTCTCCCAGATCCTGATGTACACCCCTTATGTACTTATAGGCAACCACCAGGTCCCCCCTGAGCCTGTGCTTTTCCAGGCTGATGAGTCCCATAGCTCTCAGCCTCTCTTCATAAGACCTGTTCTCTTGCCCTCTGATCATGTGTGTGGCTATCCTCTGAACTCTCTCAAGCTTCTCCACATCCTTCTTGAATTGCAGAGCCCAGAATTGGATGCAGTATCCAGCTGCAGCCTCACCAAGGCTGAGTACAGCGGGAGGATGACATCCTGAGGTTTACTTGAGAAGCATCCATGGATGCAAGACAGAGTTTGGTTAGCTTTACCAACTGTGACATCGCATTGGTGGCTCATGTTCATCTTGTGGCAAGCGTAGCACTGCCGAGCCTATAAGCATGCTGCAGGTTCCTCCCACCCTGAGGTGGAGTACCTTACATTTCTTGGTATTGAACGTCATCATGTTTGTATCCACCCACTTACTAAGTTTATCCAAGCCAGCCTGGATCACTAGCCTTGGGGCATAGCCTCAGGTGTGGATGCCATGCCCCAGAGTTTAGTGTCATCGGCAAACTTAGCCAGTGCGCTGCTGACACCAGTGTCCACGTTGCTGATAAAGATGTTAAAGAGAACCGGTCCAAGGACAGAGCCTTGGGGGATGCCATTGGTCATGGAGGAGGAGGCCTCTCACAATGGGAGACCCCTCTCTCCACCCCGATGCTGCCACCTGCTGGTAGTGGGTCTTGAAGTAGCGTTGCCAGGTTTCGTAAGAAAAAAACCAGCACTGCCTTTAAAAACAAGCCCAACGCATTTCCAAGAGAGGGGACTGGGTGTTAGAGGTGTGTGTGGTGGGGAGGTTGTGAGGGGGTGTGGCTGTTTCGGTAGGGCAATAGGGTATGTTGGGGTATATATGTGGGTGGGGGGGAAGGGTGGGGGTGTGCGGAGACCCCACCCCACACAGTCTCCCCCATGATGCACAGCCTCTGCTGCCAGTGACGGTTGCCTTCGGGGCCTGCACAGACACCAGTGCTCCGTGATGCACGGCACTGGCTAGCACGGCACAGTGGTGGCGAAGAGCACAGCTCTACCCATTGCCTCTCACACCATGCTCTGTGAGCCCACATGCAGCTCCATGCTACCAGGGGGAAGTAGTGTGGGCTGGAGCCAGCTGCTTCCCGTGACCTGCACAGCAGGGGGCGGGGAAGGCAACCAGCTCCAGGCTTTCCCTGGTAGTGTGGAGCTGCATGTGTGCCACATGGAGCTCAGCGCAAGAGAGGTGGCTGCTGGGGCTGTGTTCCACCACGCAGCACTGGTCGGAGCTGCGTGTGGGCTATGAGTGCCCCGTGGGCTGCCACTGCTAATAGCAGGGGCTGTGCACCATGTGCACCCGAGCTCTGCACTCTTGCCACCCCCCTGTGTGTGGGCTTCATGGTCCTGCCCATCCGCAGATCCCCCATCCTGGCACCCACCGTCTCCCTACCTGTTGCCTGGAGCAAGCCAGAGGCTGGGTAGGCTCGCAGACCCTTGGGGCGGCAGCTGCAGCAGCCCTGCCCAGAAGCTGCGTGCTGGCAGGGCCGGGCTCTTACAACCCCATCTTGTTTCTACAGTCGGGACCCACAGTTTGGGAACCACTGTATTACAGAAAAGCCAAAAAATAATCAACCTCTAAATAAAAAAACCCCCCAAAAACCTGAAACCTGCAACTCTAAAAATCAAAGCAACTTTTTGAAAAAACAAGCCCAATTTTGCTTATTATAAGTGGACTTGGCAACACTGGCTTGGAGCCACTGCTAGGAAGTGGCCTCAGTGAGACCAGCTGAGGGAAGCAGAGGCGAAGGGAAGGGAAGGGAGGCGGATGGGGCCATTCGTGCCACTGCCATGGAAGGGCCCTAGGCATGTGCCTAGTGTGCCTATGTGTTAATCTGGCCCTGACAGACAGAGACAGACAGATGAGCTGCCAAACTGCTGAAGTGCAGTCAAGACAAGACTGTACTGTGGCAAGGAGGAGACAGGTTGAAAGCCTAGTGCATTGGTTCCCAATGTTTTTAGACCATGGGCCGGCAAACTGCGGACCAGCTTACTGCAGTTTGGAAGTGACCAGCATACTGTGGACCAGCAGCCAACCCTTTCTTATACTCAGTACTGTACAGGGCCATGGCTCAGAGGGTGGGAACCTCTGGTCCAGTGCAGTTATGGAGGCCTTAACACAGATGGCTCCACTAGAGAAGTGTGACTGTGGGAATGCAAGTAGCTCACCTTGTTTGAGCAGTTCTGCATGGTTTCAGGCTTAACAAAAAGAACACAGGAATACCAGGTAAATGCCCTCCTTTTTGCTGTGGGAGAAGCTGTGGATGATGTTGTAAGGGAGTGCAGATCATTCAGACTGGTAGAAATAATTCAGGAGAAAATGTCATCAGATGACAATGAGCCTGTGCTACAAGGAACTATATCTTCAATAGAAGAATCAATAACTTTGTACATTAATATAGACCTCAGAGGTTGAATCATTACATTCAAAATAGACACTGGCATTGCAGTTACTGCCATCGGTGCTAAAGATTATGATCCATCCTGGGATGGAGATCTGCAAAGGTCAGATGAAATTGTCAGAAGGGCAAGTAATACTGCATTAGAAGTGTGTGGCCAATTTAAGAGGATATTGGGTATCTCAGTCCAGAGAGAAACATACAGCTGTTCAGGCTGGACTGAAAGGAGGTATTGGTTACCTTCCTCATAGGTATCTAATATAGCTTCTTAGGGAAGAGCTAGTTCTCCTCCACAAGAAATCCCCTGGAACAGCCATGCACTTTATATTTGTGTCAGGAAAAAAAGGCTTTTCTCCCAGCACAACTGTAATGTTTGTTTGTGGCTCTTGTGTCCATTTGCCTCCATTAGCTGTTATTTCTCCTCAAAAAGATAATCTGTTGGTCCAGAATACACACTTGGTTGAGGTCTGGGAAAGGGTGTGGTAAACTACCAAGGAGGCTGGCAGAGATGGCATAAGGCTCAGGGTAAAGACAATTAGGCTGTACAGTCTCAGTTCTCAGTGGAGGATCTGTGCTCTAAGAAGTGTTCAAAGAGCCAAAGCCTCTGCCTGCACTGTACTCAGATTTAACAGGCAAAATCCACATAGAAAGGCATGTTGGGATCCAAACACAGCAGCCTGGTGAGTCTCCAGTAGGGTGTTTGATCAGGAATGAGACGGTCAGAAACTGGGTCTATTAAGATTATCCCTTTTAGGTGGTCTGCTGTACTGGATTTCTTTTTAGGATACCAATATTAATCTGAAGAAAAGTCAACTCCTTCAGAAGTTTTATTGGGACTTACTAAGTATGTTTTACCTATAAAGTACCTGGAAACACTACATAAATTCGAGTAAACAAAGGTCTTTACAGTCCTTAGACTGATATCTCATTATTTGCTGTTGTTGAAATGTTTCCAGGGACCAAAACAGTGCTAATTGCTTCTGAAATATAGTAGGTCTTTTGAAGCAGATGAACAAATGAGCAGTATAACTGCATTGATTTCTCTTGTTCATGGAAATAACTATATATATAAATGATTACAGAGCTGTTGTCATGTTTTACTTGATTTCTGGAAGCTTTATTCTGTTCGTTTGGTTGCAATGATCTTGTAAGTTACCATGTGGAGACATGAAAGCTTCCAACAATATGATAAGTTTCCTCAGAGCAATATTGAATTTTTGCAAGAAGCATTTGATTATAATAAAGTGTTATTTTTCATCTCTTTTGAGTTATAATAAAGGATGGCAATATGACAGTACAGTCTCACTGGGCTTCGAAACAGTCTCTGGAACTCAGTATTTTATCTTATTTCTGTTATGTGGAAGTGTGGAGAACAAAGTTATCTTAACTCCATAAACTTATTGCTCCCACAGTTTATGCTGGAACTTGCTGTGTTTTTCTTTAGATCACCCTGAGTAACATAAGTAATGGCGATAGCTAGGGATAAGATACATTTCAGTTTGAGACTTTGCTGCACATTATACAAGTAGAACCTCCCTCTTCTCTGTAGTGTTAAAGTATATCTACAGTTAGTGAATATACCTTTGACTTAGCTTCACATTTGCTTTCAAGACTAAAATCATTCCAGGACTTCCATAGGATGGTATTGTCTGTTCTGGTAATTCCTAGTCTATTTAAAAAAAAAAAAAGAAAGAAGAAAGAAATAGTATAACTGTTTGTTGATTTTTTTTTTTTGTTTGTTTTCTTTGTTTTGTTTTGGGGTTTTTTTGCAATATGATGCTGCTTCAAAGATTGTCATTGCACCCTAGTTTCATTTGAACTTTTCTTTCTGTTAATGAAGAATTGCCTCTGCCCCGGTTTGTGGCATTGAAAAATGACAGTGAAATGAGATATGGGACTCCAGCAGAAATCCATGGAGCCAAATGTCAGATTCCACACACAGCTTTGGATAAAAATTCCTTCAAAAGAGCAGACGAGGGAGATAAACAGGTAATATGTCTCTAGTAAAAGTAAACCTGTTACTGTGTAAGAAGAACTTTGGGCCGAGTCCTTAAAAGAGGTAACTTCAAATGTATGCTTACTCCATTAATGTAATGGTATGCTTTGCAAAGTTGATTATATACATGTGAAAAATTGTTAGTCAGATTATGCCCTTGTTTTGATATGCCTTCATACCGGCTATAACCCCAAAGGATTTTATTCGTTCATTCAACTCTAATAATGTATGATACATAATTCTATAAGAGTTAAATAATTGTTTAGAAATATGCCTATATGGCATTTTCCTAACATTTGCTAGAGTGGGTTCAGAGGGAAAGCAAAGATGGACAGTTAGAAAACTCGCTTTTTAAAGAACAGAAAAACTACCACATTCTTTTTTCCTCTGATCTTCTTGGAAGTATTATACCAGGCTACTTTTAGAAACCCAAGATTTTCTTTAACCTTCAGTAAAAAAAAATTCACCCAGACACAATCTCTGTTGCCACTCTGACCTTCTGAATTCTTTATTTAAGTGTGTCATAAAGAGGTCTATATTAGCTGTATTTTTTACGGTTCAGGATGAGTATGATGTTACACACACACACACACACACACACACACACACACACACACACACACACACACACA